TGCTATGGCCTTGCCTCCTGAAGTAGTGATTCTTTGTTTTCTGACTTATAGGAAAGCACTTACTTGGGAGTCACGTGAAGAGCTCTTGGCTGCTCCTGCCTCTTCCCCAGGGCAAGGAGGCAACCAGTAAAGACAAAAGGATGGCAGCTGGTTTGGGTTGGCCACCTTTCCTCCACCCCACTCCCTGTGCAGCAGTGTGTCCTAGAGGCTGTGATCCTGTCAGCTCCTGGGACTTGCTTGCCTCAGGGGTGCTTGCCCCTTGCCTCCCGGCTCCTCAGCATCTGCAGGTGCTGCGAGGGGCCCTTGGAGGAGGCAGTGGTGCAGGAAGCACTGGTGCTGCTCTGCTATTTCCACTCCTGGCTTTTAGTAGAGAAGCTGATGCCCAGGCTCAGTCTCTCCTCAGGTGATGTGACCCCTGGGATTGCTGCCTGTGTCTCTCCTGGCTGCTCTCACAAGGGCTGCCTTCCTCCCTGCATGGCAGGGCACGAGGGAGGAAGGGATTTGCCTCAGCACTGATGTGACTTTGCTCTTGGGCATTCACCTGGGGCTACAGCAGCACCTGGAAGAGCACATGCTCCCCCCAGTTACCAAAGACCAAGCAATGCTTGTTTCTTGGCTCACACTTCATCCTCCTACTCCCTGTGCCAAGGCTGCTGTGTTTTTGTCACTGGGGGAGAGCCAGGCAGCTGTTTGCTCTATGACAGTTGCCTGGCTGACATCCTAAAGTGTTTTGCCGCTTTCTTTCCTCTCCTGAGAGACAGATGAGTGGAATTATTTGGCTGAAGGAGGTTTTTTCTAGCACCAGCCTCTCTGGTGGCAGCCTTAGGACAGGGTCATCCATTTGGCAGTGAAAGAAAGGCACCACCTTCCCTAGCACTGACACATCCAACACGTCACTCCCTCAGCTGGCATCAACCTCCTGAATTCCACCAAAACTGGAGAGAGCCCTGGACTGATGTCAAGACTGGAAGTTGCCATCTTTTGCTCAAGGACACGTGAGGAGAGCCCCTGGCAGCCAGAGGCATGTGGAGCACATAACTTCTGGGAGAGGCAAGTCCCCTGCTGCTGTGCCCAGCCTCTGCCTGGGGTTAGAAAGAAAGGATCACTCAAGCCTTGATGGGAAAGAGGTCCCCAACATGCCAGAGTCAACTGTGGAGGAACTTAACACTTGCAATGCAGTTCTGAGAAGTCTCTCTACTTGTTAACCATTCAAGGAAAGAGTCTGGAGGTCTGGCTTTGGCCATGTATGGAAATCTGGAGCTACAGCTGCTACTGTTGAATCTAAGAGACAGGAGAGAACATGTGGCTTGGGAGCATTTTGGGTGGGTTCTATCTTGTTCTGTCCACAGGTTTAACAACTGTGGTACCTGCAGGCCCAGAAGGAGGGCAGAGCCCTTTTCTTACACACACAGCACTGGTAGAGGCTGTGCTCCTCATCAGTGTCCCTGGGAGCTGTGCCCCTGGCAGAGCGGGGCCCTGCAAGCCAAGGAGGAGCTGAACTGCAGCTGTGAGCAATCCGTGGTGCATGGCAGGGCATGCCAGCAGGAAATGGGACTAATGACTCTGCCTTGAGCTGGCTTTTGTCACCTCAGCCTCCTGGCACAGGGGACTGCAGCGCACCAGGGCTTGGCACCTCCCTCCTGCTTTTGCTTGCAGCGGCTGGGGGACAATGCCAGCGTGCCACAAGCTGACCCAAATGGCCACAGACTGGACAGGCTTTAACACATGTTCTTAATGCCTTGTAAAGCCTCCCCTTCCCCATGCTCTAGCCACAGCTGCCTGAGAGGTTTCCCTTCTGCAGCTCCACAGAATTGCCCATCTTGTGTTTGCCTGAGGAACCCAAAGCACACGAGTTGAACAAGCAGCAGGGCAGCCCAGAGTTTCTGGTCTCAAATGCAAGTGGAAAGCAGCAACACTAATAGCAGCAGGCAGGCTCTCTGCAGCTTATCTCCCCCTCACAACCCTGCAGCTGATGCATGAGGTGAGCCTCCAGTCAGGAATTGTAGAAGCTGGACACCAGTTTGGCCCTGCTGCAGCCTGCTCCTCTGCAGCCTTTCCCTTGCACCACTGCTCCATGGCTGGCACCCAGAAATAAAATAAATAAAATCAGATAGGATGTGTTGTTCCTCTGCTTGGAGCAAGAGGCAGGGCCCTTTCCAGGGAACATGTGGCACAGTGTGTGACACATGGCTGTCTATCCAGGGGAGAATTTCACCTGCTGACAGGGTCTTTCTGGAGCTTTTTGCACAGGGTTTAGGAGCTGTAGCTGCTCCTGACTGGCCTGAGAGCCTGTTAATCTCTGGAGATGTGTCCCCTCTTCTGTGCTGAGCCCTGCTGGGACAGTGTCAGCGTGGCTGGGCTGTGCTTTGTGTTTGTAGCTGGCATAAAAGCAGGAGGGAGAAAACACCAGCCATGAAATACTGATAGTGTAGGAGAAATGAGCCTCTACCTCACATGTGGGTGCTGGGTGTGGCAGTACAGACAGGTGAGGGCACTAATCAGTGTAAAGCCCTTTATCAACATAAAGGGCATGCAGGTTTGTAGCCTGGTTGGGAGTAAAGTATATCCAAGTAGGGGTGCAAAGCTATGCCAGAGGAAATTTAAACTGGGAAGCATTTCTTTAGAGAGGGAGCAGTCAAGAACTGGAATAGGCTCCTCAGAGTGGTGGATGCCCCATCCCTGTCTGTGTTTAAGAGGCATTTAGAAAATGCCCCTGATAACATGCTTTAGCCTTTGGTGAGCCCTGAAGAGGACAAGCAGTGGACTAGGTGATCCTTTTATGTTTCTTACAATTGAAATACCCTATTCTAATGTGCTCATGCACAGAGAGAGGCTCACTCCTCCTTTCTGCAGTGGTCTTCTGTGCCTGATAATCCAAGTAGCACCCCTGGGCTGGTGCAAGGCTTTGCTTGCTGGCCATCCACCCCTCTCTGTGGAGCAAGACCTGAGCTGGTGCAGAAGCAGGGCTGTGACTAGGTAAATCATGTGGGTGATGGGGCCTTTGTAGGCTGTTCAGCGTTCAGGTACTGGAGAAAGTAAAGCTGGGGATGAAGATTAGAGACAGGAATAGGNATCCTAAAGTGTTTTGCCGCTTTCTTTCCTCTCCTGAGAGACAGATGAGTGGAATTATTTGGCTGAAGGAGGTTTTTTCTAGCACCAGCCTCTCTGGTGGCAGCCTTAGGACAGGGTCATCCATTTGGCAGTGAAAGAAAGGCACCACCTTCCCTAGCACTGACACATCCAACACGTCACTCCCTCAGCTGGCATCAACCTCCTGAATTCCACCAAAACTGGAGAGAGCCCTGGACTGATGTCAAGACTGGAAGTTGCCATCTTTTGCTCAAGGACACGTGAGGAGAGCCCCTGGCAGCCAGAGGCATGTGGGGCACAGAACTTCTGGGAGAGGCAAGTCCCCTGCTGCTGTGCCCAGCCTCTGCCTGGGGTTAGAAAGAAAGGATCACTCAAGCCTTGATGGGAAAGAGGTCCCCAACATGCCAGAGTCAACTGTGGAGGAACTTAACACTTGCAATGCAGTTCTGAGAAGTCTCTCTACTTGTTAACCATTCAAGGAAAGAGTCTGGAGGTCTGGCTTTGGCTAGAGCCATGTATGGAAATCTGGAGCTACAGCTGCTACTGTTGAATCTAAGAGACAGGAGAGAACATGTGGCTTGGGAGCATTTTGGGTGGGTTCTGTCTTGTTCTGTCCACAGGTTTAACAACTGTGGTACCTGCAGGCCCAGAAGGAGGGCAGAGCCCTTTTCTTACACACACAGCACTGGTAGAGGCTGTGCTCCTCATCAGTGTCCCTGGGAGCTGTGCCCCTGGCAGAGCGGGGCCCTGCAAGCCAAGGAGGAGCTGAACTGCAGCTGTGAGCAATCCGTGGTGCATGGCAGGGCATGCCAGCAGGAAATGGGACTAATGACTCTGCCTTGAGCTGGCTTTTGTCACCTCAGCCTCCTGGCACAGGGGACTGCAGCGCACCAGGGCTTGGCACCTCCCTCCTGCTTTTGCTTGCAGCGGCTGGGGGACAATGCCAGCGTGCCACAAGCTGACCCAAATGGCCACAGACTGGACAGGCTTTAACACATGTTCTTAATGCCTTGTAAAGCCTCCCCTTCCCCATGCTCTAGCCACAGCTGCCTGAGAGGTTTCCCTTCTGCAGCTCCACAGAATTGCCCATCTTGTGTTTGCCTGAGGAACCCAAAGCACACGAGTTGAACAAGCAGCAGGGCAGCCCAGAGTTTCTGGTCTCAAATGCAAGTGGAAAGCAGCAACACTAATAGCAGCAGGCAGGCTCTCTGCAGCTTATCTCCCCCTCACAACCCTGCAGCTGATGCATGAGGTGAGCCTCCAGTCAGGAATTGTAGAAGCTGGACACCAGTTTGGCCCTGCTGCAGCCTGCTCCTCTGCAGCCTTTCCCTTGCACCACTGCTCCATGGCTGGCACCCAGAAATAAAATAAATAAAATCAGATAGGATGTGTTGTTCCTCTGCTTGGAGCAAGAGGCAGGGCCCTTTCCAGGGAACACGTGGCACAGTGTGTGACACATGGCTGTCTGCCCGTGATGGGCCAACTGTGTTCCAGCCTGGTTTTCCTCTGAATGACAATGCTCAGACAGCAGAAATCCAGGGGAGAATTTCACCTGCTGACAGGGTCTTTCTGGAGCTTTTTGCACAGGGTTTAGGAGCTGTAGCTGCTCCTGACTGGCCTGAGAGCCTGTTAATCTCTGGAGATGTGTCCCCTCTTGCTAAGCCCTGCTGGGACAGTGTCAGCATGGATGGGCTGTGCTTTGTGTTTGTAGCTGGCATAAAAGCAGGAGGGAGAAAACACCAGCCATGAAATACTGATAGTGTAGGAGAAATGAGCCTCTACCTCACATGTGGGTGCTGGGTGTGGCAGTACAGACAGGTGAGGGCACTAATCAGTGTAAAGCCCTTTATCAACATAAAGGGCATGCAGGCTTGTAGCCTGGTTGGGAGTAAAGCATATCCAAGCAGGGGTGCAAAGCTACGCCAGAGGAAATTTAAACTGGGCCTTGGGAAGCATTTCTTTAGAGAGGGAGCAGTCAAGAACTGGAATAGGCTCCTCAGAGTGGTGGATGCCCCATCCCTGTCTGTGTTTAAGAGGCATTTAGAAAATGCCCCTGATAACATGCTTTAGCCTTTGGTGAGCCCTGAAGAGGACAAGCAGTGGACTAGGTGATCCTTTTATGTTTCTTACAATTGAAATACCCTATTCTAATGTGCTCATGCACAGAGAGAGGCTCGCTCACTCCTCCTTTCTGCAGTGGTCTTCTGTGCCTGATAATCCAAGTAGCACCCCTGGGCTGGTGCAAGGCTTTGCTTGCTGGCCATCCACCCCTCTCTGTGGAGCAAGACCTGAGCTGGTGCAGAAGCAGGGCTGTGACAAGGTAAATCATGTGGGTGATGGGGCCTTTGTAGGCTGTTCAGCGTTCAGGTACTGGAGAAAGTAAAGCTGGGGATGAAGATTAGAGACAGGAATAGGAAACACTGTCCTGGACTAGCAACAAATCAGCCGTGAGTCAGCTTCCAGTCCAGGGACTGCCTTCTCTGCCAAACCACAGCAGGGAATGTCCCCCTGGAAAATGGAGCTGTGTGGTGGGACAGGGATTTTTGCCAGCTGGAGGTTATACTGTAGTAGAGGCAGAGAACAAAAGCTTTGGGGAAGGGATGGATGAAGTTAAAGGATAACTGCTGGCACTGCTTTTGGCTCAGCAGTGCTGGAGCTCATCCTTACCCCTTTTTGTTGATAGGCCCTGTGGTTGCTCAGTGCTTGTTGTGGGTGTCTGGAAAGGCGCTCCAACAGGTCTGGAGAGAGGAGGAAGGTGCTTAAGGGAGAGAAAGAAAACTTTAGATGGTCAAGAGGGTCTGCCCTTAAAAAAAGAGCAGGTACTCTTTGAATACCACATAATGAGTGTCAACAAGGTGAAAAGGGGAAAAGGACTTTTCTTACATTTGTCTCCCAGGTATTATGAGTATTTCTTACTGCCCTGTGGCTAGGGCAGATCATGGGATGCTCTAAGCCAGGCAGTCAGTGTTGTGCCTGCCCTCTTTGTGCCAGGTGAGCTGCTTGTCAGCCTCAGCTACTTCTTGTCCTTCTTGTATTGCTGTTTCTTCCCCACCCCTTTTCTTTTGAAGCAGACCAGAATTAAGGGCAGGGTTTATCCCAGCCTGCCCTTGGGAATGGTGGATTTGTAGGGTGAAGACTCCTTATGGTCTAAAAGGTAATCACACCTAAATAGAAAAAGAAGCAGCTTTAGTTCTTCCTGGCAGGGTGAGGTTTAGAAGAGCTGGCAGCCTGGGGAGAGAAAGGTGTGGAGAGGAGGAGGAGGAGAAGGCTCCTGGAGGGAGGAATGGCCCCCTGTCTGTTTTTGCATGGCTGCTATGCTAATGTAGAAGAGCAGCCCTCAGGCCCTGGAGTCCTAAATCTTGAGCTTGTTATTAAACCCTAATGTACACAGCACTCCACAAAATAAGAGGATGCCTAGGCTGCGTTGTCAGGGATGAGTCTGGGAGGCTCCTGTAGTGCTGCTCTCAGGGGAGGGGTGTGTCTGTGCTTCTCTTTTCTCCTGTCACCTGCTGAGCCCCAGCAAAAAACCCTTCCAGCAGCAGGGGAAGGCTTTCTTCCAACAATCCTTATCCGTGGGGACCAGGATTAAGCTACAGTGCTCCACGACTCATTTACCACACTCCACCACACAGCCTTCGGTCGGTAATAATTTTCACTCACTGCAGTTTTGTGTTTGGAGAATTAATTGCTTTAATAAGGAGCTTAATTAGAAGTGCAAAAGTAGAATAAGCAGCAGAAATGTTGGATAAGCGCTGAAGACCATTTCCACAAAGAGAAATGCTGCCCTCCTGGTAGGAAGGGCTCTTGGGTCCAGCGATTGCCTCGCTGTGTCCTGCAGCTGGGGCTTCACACCTGGCTGCTGCTTCTCCTGGCACAGCCACCCAGCAATGCTGCGGTGCAGGGGTCTGTGCAGAGGGGAGCTCTGATGAGCTGCTGCATTTAGGAAAAAAAAAAAATACTCTTTTTGCAGCCCTTTTTGGCCAAACAGCATTTCCAGGCTGCCGGAGGCTTTCCCAACAGGTGTGCAATCCCAAATTTTGTCATGTCCTTGGGTGTGAGGATACCAGAGCGAAAGCAGGGGCTGCAGCCTTCCTGATGCAAAGCAGGGGCTGCAGCCTTCCTGATGCCAGAGCACAGAGCAGTGCACCTTTGGCACCCCTCGCCTGCAGGCTGTTTGCACAGCCTGGTCATTCCCACAGTGAAGATGAACATGTCTGGCTCCAGCTGAGTTAAAGAGCTTCAGGAACAAATGAACTCCAAGGAAGAAATAGGCTATTTTCCCTCCACCCCCCTGAAGCAGCTATCAGCAAGGAAAAAAACCCTCAATTTTCAGGGCAGCTGAATCCATTTGCAAATGCATGTCAAGTGCGACAAATAGTTTGGGCTTAAATAATGGAGGGTGGCTTTTTCCCCCAATCAAAGTGTTTTATTCCCACAGTTCCTAAGCAAAACATTTCCCTTTTTCATTTTGAAATAATGTTATGAAACATGATTTTTTTAAAAAAAGAGCATAAAACAAAACATAAGCCCTCAAAATGAAGTAAATGGCACTGAATTTCTGTGTCAAAAGCAAGGATTTAGCCAACCCACTGTGTTTATTTTTTCCATGGTAGGTGTCAGCAAGCAAACTGGAAAATCTGCATTTCTGGACAACCTGAAATTATTCTTCTTTTCCACTCCTAACAGAGAGCTCAGAAATCAATTTTCACAGGTTCATTTTCTAAGCAATCTCATCGCTGCTGTCAAAATGATCTCTCTACTCTTATTTGTACCCAAAACGGGCAGATAAAGAATATTCTTGAAGCAGAGGTGCAATTCCTCTTCCTATGTCAGTCAAGCCCACTGGCATTGCTCTGATCCAAATAAGATGGATCTTTTTCCCCCTCCCTTTCTCCCCAGAGCAGCTCACATTTCAGGTGGTCACAGGATCAGCTCCATCACCTTGTTCTCCCACGGCACCTGACCTTCCCTTTATTGTTTAATTAAGCCTTGCAACGATGCTGTGAGATACACAAAGCACGCAGCGATTGCTGCCAAAACCCTCATCTGTCAGTGTTGCAGTCTTTTCTCTGCTTTTTTAATTTTTTTTTTTTTTTTTCCCCCTCTCTCAGCCTCACTTTGCACTTGGGCTTTTCCAGCCGTGGCTGCCTGGTTCCTTTCTGGCTCCGTGGGCAAACTGGCTGATGGCATATCTACCCCGTGCAGTCTGACAAACCGCACTGGTGCGAACTATTTATGGTCCCCTAAGCACTGCTTGATTAAGTCACTTGGCTGGCGTGCAGGGCTGTCTTGCCAGCTGACAGAGGGAGCCGGTGACACACGGTACCTCCGCTTGTGGTGTCCCTTGTGAGCCCGGCGGAGGCAGAGGGGCTGCCCGGGGAAAATCACCCATGGAACCCGGCCACCGGCGAGCTGCAGTGCAGCCCTTGAGCCTTGGCACGTCCCAGGCCAGGGCTTTGCTTGGGCAGCCTGGGGTTTTCATTGCAGCCTGCAGATTGTTCCGGGGGTACCCATCAGCCACGGTGCCTTAGCTCTGCTTTACAGGGGAAGCCGCTTAGGAAACCCCTGGGTTCAGAAAGAGAAAGCTTCCCCTTTCTGCATGTTCCCCTCCGAGCCAGCTGTGAAGGTCTAATCCTTCTCCCTGGTAGGGGTCTGACGTCCTGCCTCCCGTACAAATACAGGTGTCCCGTTCCACGCTGGCAGCAGGGGAAGATGCAGCTCCGCATCCTCTCCTCTTTGCTGCCGACACTTCCCCAGCAGCGGGCGGCGAGGGTCCCGCACCTTTCCCTGTCGGGATGGCCGGTGCCACCGCTGCTGCTCTGCTTTCCAGCACCCCCGGCGCTGCAGGAGCGGCCGGCAGCAGCCGAGGAGGAGATGCGAGCGCGGCTGCCAAGAGATGGCGCAGAGGCTCCGTCTCTGGCCGGGCGGCGACAGCCCCGGGGCTCCTCCGGCACTCGGGGCTGCCGCCTCTGCCTCTCGGGGTGCCCGGAGCCGGGGGGAAAGGCTTGCTGCAGCCACGGAGCGCCGCCCGGTGATGGTGATGGTCTGCTCCAGCCCGCCTGCGGTGCCCGCAGCGATGGAGCAGCACATGCTCCGTTCTCCGTGCATCCCAGCATTTGTGGGCGCTCCCTGCGGGCGTGTGTGGAGCAGGCTGCTGCTGGAGGGGACAGGACACCGTGCTCCCCGGTGGCTTTCTTACCCTCTCAAGGAGAGGGCAGGTCTGGGGACAACACACCGTGTTTTGTGTAGGTTGATAGGGCAGGGCTCTCCTTTGCCTTTCTCTCCCCCAGCCTCAGAGCCGGGCCATGTCTGTGTCCTAAACTGCCCTCTGGTCGTGAGCCATGGCTGGGAATGTCCAAACCAGCTTCCTCCGTGGAGGTGAGCCCTGTGCCAGCTCCACCTGCACCTTCAAGGGCCGAGGCAGGGACTGTCACCAGCCAAAGCGCCCATCCACCCTCTAGGCTTGCATCAGCCACGCTGGTGCTGCTCCCCGATGGAGCAAACCAGCCACCTGCTCTTTAAACAGCTGTCTGCACCGCTGAGAGGAGCGGCAACACTTACGGAAATGTAGATATTATTTAAGGTGAAGCCAGGGTCAGTGTGTACCTCGGAGGAGAATCTCAGCCAGAGCATGAAAAGGATTCCGTGTTGATTTCTGAAATCTTTTAGCGTCTTCTCCTTGAGAGAGAATACTGCGTTTGAAAGTGAATGTTTGAAAGTAGAAGGTGAGGCTTTGCATTTGGGAGAAACCAACAAAGGGTTTGTGACACCAGCTCCTTCTGCATCCCCCAGAAAGCTGCTGAGCTCGGGGGCCTCTGAACTCTGGGGCTCTGCTCTCCTCTTCGGTAAGGGGTGACATTAATACTGACCTACGTGCTGGGGAAGAATGGTAGAGCAGGAAAATCTCTGGATTTAATCTAGCAGACCACAATAGGCAGTGTTATGGCAATAAAAATCCAAATGCTAGAGCGCAGGATTTATGTAGGGGACGCAGTTTTGCGGCTGTTCTTCGCATATAAGCACTTGCTGGCTTGTAAATGGGTTTTTGACAGTGGCTTGATGTTCTTTGTGTTTGAGTGACAGCATTTGGATGTACATTTGCCTGGCAAATATTCACTGCTTTGATTTGAGGCCTGGGCTTCACATTTTGGAGGCCATGGATGCCTGTGGGATGGAGGGAGAGAAATGTGAGCTTGATCGGTGCAATGAGGAACGAGTCAAAAAACCAAGGCAGCTGTATTTGTGGCAAAGAAAAGGGATGGAGGCTGTGGAAAGCAATCACTGTTAGGAGCCAGAGAGTGATGGTATCCAATCAGGAGACAAGGAAAGAGTTCATTTCAGAGCAGTAACTGGTGTTAGCTTCCCGTTAACAGTAATAATAACTATATCCTGGAGTGATGGCTGAGTTCATTTGGACCAGATACAATTATTGCTTTGTGTGCAACAAGCACCCTCAATTTGCTGTGCAATATTAAGCTGGAGTCAGCTCCCTTACAGGCTCTGGTTTCCAGAGGCTGGGTTGCTAACAAACTGCCCTCTTGCTTTCACACACCATCACTCACCACACATTCACACACATCTATATTCTGTGATAAAATCAGGGTCTGTGCAGCTAAATTCCAGGTAGTATTTCTTTCAGAAAAGCCCCCGTCTTCCTGGCAGGAGCCTGGGAGTCCCTTGCTGTAGACTCAGAGCACTCTGTGCTTTGGAAAAAAGCAGCTTGCTTTTGTCCAGTCCCCAAATCCCTGCTCCCCAGTTTGGGACTGCAAGCACGTTTTGGGTGGAAAGTCTGGGAAAGCAGAGCACTCACCTGCCATTGGGAGTGCTCTCATTAACCTTGGCAGCCTCGGTGCTTCCCCTGCCAAACTCAACAGAAGCCCTTGGGAGTAATAAAACTGACACACCCCAAGCTTAAACTTGGACAAGCTTTTTAATACCCAGATGAAGAGATTACAGGAATGACCTACTTGTTTATATGTGGCAGATCTGTGAAATGTGCAGAAGGCTCTCTCATTAGAGGAGGTCTGCAGGGTGGAGTTGCCCCACCAGTGCCAGAGCTGCAGCCAAGCAGCAGATTAGATGGTGCCTCCAAGGAGCTGGGCTCTTTCATGTGTTTGGAAATTCCCCATGCCACCCCTAATTCCTAGAAAAAACGCTTTGTGTTGTGAGGCAGGAGTGGCTAATCCCAGCCTCTAAGGCCACCAGATGTTTCCAAGCATTTCAGGCCCATCTGCACAGCCAGAGCTACCTTGTGCAGTGGGCCTGGGGTGTGCACCAGCGGCATGCTGTGCCCTACAAAGCCAAGCAGGTTTTGTGAGTGCCAAGGCATGCCACGGTGTAATCTGGGATCCACCACTCCTGGATCCTGATCTTCCGTACTGGCATGAATTAAAAGCCTTTTGGGCACTTGCAGCATCCTCGCTTTTCTTCAGTAGCTTCCATGTGCCCTGACTGATGCCCAAGATGCTCAGTTTCTGAATGATTGAATTCCTGCCTAGCACACAGCTCCTTGGCAGATTGTGAAATGCAAACTGGCACGAAGGCAGTTTCCTTAAGAGAAGAGGTTTTTCTCTGCTGGCAGAAAGTACAAAGACCTCAGGAGCATTACTACTACCCAGGGACTTACCCTGATCTGGGTTTTGAGGACTTTCTGAGATGGGACCTACTGAAGGAGGCAGAACATGGATTACAACTTGATAAACACAGTAGCTTGGGTTTTCTGTGCCATGATCAACCTCTCCCACAGCATGCCAGGCTGGGAGGTGCAGGAAGAAGGCTTCTGTGGTTCAGGTGATGGGAGAAGGGCACCCAGCTTTTCCTCTGAGAGCCTTGAATACCCAGAGCCTCTTTGATCTGTGTTGAGTCTCTCAGCAGGGAAGGAGGGTCAGTGTGAACCTTCCATGCTCTGGATCACCCAGAGCACACAAACATCTGCACCACTAAACTGCCAGAGTTGGTGTGATCCAGGATGGGACTCCTGTGCTGCTCCCATTTGGGTCAGCCTGAGCCCAAATTCCTCTGTGCCTGCTGCCTGCCTGGGAGAGACTCCAGGCTGATAGCACTGAGTGGGAAGACAGGACAGGCCTGCTGGGGTATAGGTGGCACCTACAAGAGTTCTTATCCCCTTTCTGCTCCTCCTGCATGCCAGCCAATGAACCCAAAGCCATCCTGGCCTGCACTTAGCAGGCAGGAGGGCGGCACAGGCAGCAACAGCCATGGGGTCACAGCGGTGCAGGTGCAGCCACAGAGTCCTTGGGCCAACGACAAGGAGAAAAAGTGTGTTGTTATAAATCTACAACCTGCCCTTAATGGCTTGGGGCTACAGGCATATAGATTAAATTTCAGTCCTATATTTCACAGAAGTCACGCAGTGGCATGTCAAGGTGCTGCAAGCGAGCAGTCCTCTGATGGTGTTTTGGATGTCTGGCAGGGGACTAACTAGAGCAATGAAATAAAGCATAACAACATGTAGACTGAAGAATGGGAGAATTTCATAGTGGTGAGATCAGGGCTGTAAAATAGCTTCTGGAGGAACTCGTGGAAGCTTCTCCACGATTGGGTTATTTAAAAAAAAAAAGATTGGACAAATATTAGAAGGTGTGTATTATCCTGGTGGTGTGAAAATCATGGCAATTCTGTCAGAAAAAGTATGACAGA